CTTGCATAGAGCTTGCTTCAGACAGACTGAAAATGTTCTCTTTATTCTTTAGGAAAAAATCCACAGTGTCCAACTGTCGGTTCTCTAAACCAGCCTAAATATCAAAGATATAGTTTTTATATTATACAGAGATCCAACATCAATACTTTGACTCCTCTTAATTAGCACCTGGCCTGAGTGTCCAAGGGAACATCAAGGCATGGATTTTGCTTCTTACTTCCTAAGCTGTCTTCTCAGAGATCTGGCTGTCACAACATCGAGAAAAAACCTTTGTCCAATCACAGAGGAACTTTTTCTTGAGGAATACAGCGCTAGCATTCCTTCTCTGCTTACAAACCTCTTAGCATGAATATGATCTATGCTAAGTAATATATTTGTTCTGTATATAATATATTTGAGTACACCAAAATAAGTTCTGGATTATAGGCTAGTTACAGCTTACTTTTACATAGATTTGTAACTAACTAACTAGGAACCGAGGAAGTTAATATTTCTTTGCAATATACAGCAAAAGGATCAGTGATTTATGTAAGATTCAGGATTCTTTAAAGGTAATAAATGGATGACTCTATTGCAAATGGCAACACTTAAAAAAAACACAACAATCTTCACCATAGGAAGAATTGTGCTGGAATTAAGCAAATCATTCTCTTCTCTTGTCAGCGGAAGAACTTTTCTCTCCACTGGTTGAATACCAGAACCATTTAAAGTAGAGCAAAATGTGTGCGGAATCTATCTTTCTGCTCTAGAATGGATGGCCAAGGCCTCACAGCTTCATAGGCATCAGGGAAAAAGTCGGAATCCTCTAGAAAATCCTCAGCAATAGCAAGACGCTGCTACCCGTGGTGGAGCCATGGTGGTGCCGTGGTTAGAATGCAGCACTGCAGGCTACTTCTGCTGACAGCAGATGCCAGGAGTTCGACAGTTCAGTTGTTACCGGCTCAAGGTTGGCTCAGCCTTCCATCCTTCCGACATCAGTAGAATGAGGACCCAGATTGGGGGGGGGGCAATAGACTGCTTCTGTAAACTGCTTAGAGAGGGCTGTAAGTCTATAAGTCTAAGTGCTACCTCTAACCCTGGAAACGAGGATGCCCCAGGCTTCTTTCCTTACCTCTAAGGCATGTACCGGAATAGAACACCTTCCCCATCTATTGAGGCGGCAAAGGGAATCTACAGTGCTAGCGCTTCCATAGATGATCAGTCTGTTCAAGAATTCCTCTTGTGTAAAGCCAAACAGGAACAAGAAGAGGCCAGTCTCTAAGGATTATCACAAAAGAGAGGGGTTATTTCCATATTGCTCATTGTCTACAGAAAAGATGTTCTAGTGACTTGAACACAGCTTCCTCGGTCGTTTTTAGTAATGTCAAGAAGAGAAAACAATTTCAACTCTGAAATTATTTCTAGAGGGAAAATATTTATCTGCAATTAAATTCAAAGATGCTCACCTGAAAGGACAAGCCATAGTGGTTCCTCCCTGGTATATTCCACAAAAAAGGAGTTTTTCCCCACACAAGACTGTGTGATATCCTGGGTCACCAAATCCCACAGGACAAGAGTCAGTCCTTCACTTTCACTTGAGACAGCGAACAGCACGTGAAAACCTGTCACGTGTTTACAATCAAGATTCCCAGGCTCTTCTGGGTCACTTAAAAGTATATTCTTCCATCGCCTGTCTTTGGTGCTTTTATTATCTTTCCCTCTGGAGCTTGAAAGAACAAACGCAACCTCTTGAAAGAGGGACGCTGCAGAAGTGTCCCACGTCTTGGAGTTAAGAGGTTCCAAGGGTAGAAGATGCTGATACCAAGGCAACTCAACATCCATATCCAAATGTGGAAAATAATTATGTGTGTGTGTATCATTCAAAGGTAGTACGTGTGTCTTCCGGGATCTGGAAAAAAAGCGAAAGATCTTAACATTTTCAATGATGTATGAAATGAAGATGTCAGAATTACACTTTTCAATTAAACAATTATTCTTGTCACTATAAAAGCATCTTTAAAGGTCAACTGACCTGTCCGTCTGAAATAAAGGCTGCAAGGACTTCATGCTGAAACCTGAACTACTGAGGTCATCTTCATCCAGCCCCTCAAAGCTTTGCTGCTTGCAAAATAAATGGTCAGGATATTCTCTGGGAGGAGGAAAGGGGGTAATAGAAATAAGGCAAGTTTCCCTTTACTTTTCAAGCTTCAACAAGATTTAATCACTCATAAAACATCCAAACATAAAAACATCATCCAAATATTACAACGTACTGATGCAAAGAAGCAAAGGGTTGGAGAAGAATGATTCAACAGCAAATTTAGCTAATTTGGGTCACAGAAAAATGCCGTGGAATGTCCTGAACAGCTGAATATAACTATGATGGGTGCTACTTCAGGACTGCATGGGGGGAGGGTTCAAAGGGAAATCAGAGAACCCAGAGCCAAGTCTAAGAGTGATTAAGAAGTATGAAATATAAATGGGGGGGTGGATAGATAGACAGAAAGACAGACAGATCCCCTTACCAATATCTCTCGTTGGCCCACCAGCTCTAGCAGAGGGCATCCTTTCACACAAAGTGCCGCCTGCATCCCATGGGGTATTCGGATGGCCCCAGCCCTGTTAGCTTAAGGCACTGAAGACCTGGATGTTTCCCCAGGCATTTGGCCCAAGAGCTTAGATGAGTTCTGCTGATGATGATGTGGGGGAGGGGGATTGTGAATGTGGGTTACTGTTTTACCCTGAGACATGGGGAGTTATATGTGTGGTTTTCATGCTCTTAATCTTTATAAACTACTCAGAATCACTCAAGTGAGATGGGTGGCCATATAAATCATCTAAATAAACACATTTTATGCTGGAAATCAGGCAGCCTTTGGAAAATAGCCTTCCAACATTTCAGGTCACCTACCTGAAGTACAAGTTGAGGTCAACAGCAGCAACACAGCTAGAGCGGCTGACAACCACAGCCGTGCTGAGATCATATGATATACTTAGCTGCACAAGAGGAAATGGCATATCCTGGTTTCCCTCTTCTTGCCCCCGTGACTGATAGAGAGAAACACTGATATGGGCCAAATAGGCACCATCGATAGCACCAAATATATCTTTGTAAAAAGTTAAAGAAGTTCACAGGCTGTTGAAATAACAGGACAAAAATACCAACAAGAAACACACCCTTCAAAGAGCACGACTGTGTGTATGCCTGCTTCGGATTAAGCCTTACTGGGCAATGTCATCTTATTTTAGAGTAAATGTGCACAGAAAATCAAGTAAGCTATAAATTCAATAGAACGTGCTGCTGGGAAAATACTACCATTTGAGATATCCCTCATGGGATATACAGAGTCCTCATTCGCCCTTCTGTGTCCTCCTCACCCACCCTGCAAGAACCCTTGGATCAACAGGGCACGTTTTGCCTTTTTCACAATAAAGCTGGGAATTAACATGCTAAATCTCTATTAGGTAAAATGCATCAATTTCCACTCTTAGATTTCAGCGATACCCAACCCGGGATGTGGCCAAACAGACAGTTCTTGGAAGCTCGCCCAACACCAGCTTTATATTAAAGGATACGTATCCATCCGGTCTCATCCAGCAAGAAGATGATACCTCTGCAGAAAGTAACATTTACTGTCCTTTCCAAAGTTTGTGGGGGCAAATCGAGTCTAAAGCAGCTTTCCACCTCTTCCTCCAGTTCTCCTCCAGGAAAAATTAGGTGTACAATCATAAAGTTGTTGAGCAACAGTATAGCTCTGCTATTTTTAAATGACAGCACTTGCAAGGATGAAATAGATAGTAAGTCTGTAAAAGAGGACATAAAGAAGGTTTTGTTAATGTAGCCCTACACTAAAGTAGAATTAGCTCATCAGCTGCTAGAAGAAGCAGTATTTCCATCTTACCTGGATTCAGATTCAATGTATTCTCTCCTTATCACATTATCAACCACAAGTAGGAATATGGGGTGAACTAGGCAGAGGATATTATTACATAAAGATGACCCAGAGAAACAGGTTTGGATGAAAATCGGTGGGGCCTAATTCGTCATGTCCTGGGGCAGAATGGAGCCCTAAAGCCCATCTCCCAGTAGCTCCTATTCTCAGGAATGGCCGTTCTTAAGTGGCATCATCTGAAAACCAGAGCATTTTATTCCCAGAGTTCTCTCGCCATGGCACCAAAAGGCGCAGAAACACCAGCGGAGAGACGTTTCCCCATTGGAGCCATCAATCTCAGCTCTGCAGTTGCCAGACTGAGAGGCGTGAAAATAGCAGCTTCCCGAAACAGAATCTTACCGGGGGCCCCTTCCCGCCTCCCTCCCTCCGCCTCTGCCCGGGAAGACTCGCCTGCGTCCCGGGAGGCCGCCAGTGCCCGCAGCCGCTCTTCGGGGACGCCGCGCAAGAGGGTCGCATCCCACCGCCCGGACTCGGAAGCCGCCTCGTAGAGGAGCAGCGCCCGCGCCTCGGTGACAGCCAGCAGCCGCAGGCGGCCCCCCGCCGGCTCCTCCGCCTCCTCCGCCCACACGAAGCTGCAAGAGGTGCCGCCGGTCAGCCCCGCCGTTCGGCCCCCGACCGCCCCCCTCGGCGGCACCACCGGCGCCTCTCCGGGGCGCTCGCTGGGCCCCCCGCCCCGCCGGCCCGGGAAGCCCCTCCGGACGGGACTCTGCCTGGGCGCCGCGAGGGTGAAGCGGGGCCTGGGGGGACGCCCGCCCACCCTCTCCGCGGGCCGCGCTTACTCTTCCCAGGCGCCCGGCAACGAGACGCCGGGGAGCCGCGCCGAGGACAGCCCCGACAGGCGCAGCTCGGCCGGCCCGGCCACGGCCAGCGCTCCCCGCCCGCGGCTGAGCTTGGCCCGCAGCGGCCCGGCCGGGGGCTCCGCAGGCGGCGGCGGCGGCAGCAGCAGGACCCGCAGCGCCTCAGCCATCCCTGCTGCGAGACCGGGGCCCAGCTGAGACGACGCGCGAGGCCTGCCGGGCGCTGTAGTCCTGCGAGACTTCCGGCGCCGCGCGCCACTGCGCAGCCGCAGCCGCAGCCCCGCCCCTGCCGGAAGAGCGCGCGCCGAATCCCGCCGCGCATGGAGGCCTGGCTGCTGCCGGTGGGCGCCCTGCCGAGGAGGTCCCGGGGCGGCGATGCTGGCGCTGGCGCTGCTGTGGCGGGCGCTCGGTAGCGCGGGCTATGCGGACGCGGCGCCGAGGCGCGCGGGCGAGAGCGGGCGGGCCGCCGCCATGGCGCAGGCGCAGGAGCGGGCGCTGGAGGTCTACGGTGGGTGGGGGGGGCGGCGGGCCCGCGCGGGGGAGGGGGAGGGGCAGCGCCGGCGCTGCCCCCCCCGCTCAGCCCGGCCGTCTCCGCCCGCGCAGATCTCATCCGCACCATCCGCGACCCCGAGAAGCCGAACACGCTGGAGGAGCTGGAGGTGGTGAGCGAGAGCTGCGTGGAGGTGGTCGAGATCGGGCCGGGCGAGAGCCTGATCACCATCCGCTTCACGCCCACCGTGCCCCACTGCTCGCTGGCCACGCTCATCGGTAGGCTCGCCGCCCGCGCGCCCTGGCGACGCGGAGGGTCCCCCGGAAGGGCCTCGGCCGCCTCCACGGCCGCTCTGAGCAGAGGCGAAACCCGACCGGGAGGCCCCCGGTGCCCCCCCCCCAGGCTGGCCGCTGAGCCAATATTTGTTTTTATTGGGGGCTGCTGTGTAACTTTAACTTGGCAGAGTTAAATAAATACGTTAGACTTCTGGACTCAGATATGACAAGTGATGGTTAAAGCAAGAAGGACTTTATAAGCCTGCATTCAATCATGGTTCATCATGAAACTATAAGCCAATTTTTTTTGGGGGGTGCATCTCTTGGGGACACGCAAATCCTATTTTGGCTTTGTGCTGTCCTTGAAGCCATCCTTTCATTTTATTATCTAAGGGAAGATTTTTTGCCTCAGAATATCATAATTTTAATCAATAGGCAGCTTGCAAGCATCAAACATTTATAAACATCTATTTATACTGAAGCAGGGGCAAGACCCTCGCTGGGCGTAGCTGGCACAGGTGACTTCAAGAGAAGCTCTTACCTAAGTGAAAAGCCTTCCAATGTGTTGAAAACTGTTCCCTTTTCTTTGCCACCACAGAGAAAAAATGGACTTTGTACAGAGGCTTATCTTTTTTAAATGAAGGAAACCAGGTTCTCCCAAAATATTTGCTAAGCCAGGGCACTAAATATTTGCTAAGCCAGGGCACAGAATCAGACTTTCCCCTGTTTGGCTCTTGGTCAGTTGCTGTTCTGATAAAAAAATAATTGAGAGACAGAGGATGAGTCATATTTTTGAAAAGCAAACTGAAGTATTTTTCATGAAAATTTAGGACTCTGTTTGAGGATCAAACTTCAGCGATGTTTACCTTTCAAGCACAAGGTATGTCATTCGTGTTTTTCTCTTCATTGAACTGCGAGATAGGTTCTCCTGGAAGACTGTGGTAGCTGGCACTACTTGGGCTATAAGAATAACCCGGTGGCAATCCACAGCTTGTGTATCCTCATCCTGCGGGAGAGAGGCTGTTTGCAAGAAGGCAGAAATGGAGAGGCCTAAGGTGACCCTAGTCAGCCATCACCGATGCGCACATTATTTGAAGTTTGTATTAATTAGTTTTGAGTTCAAATTTGGTTTAAAGGCCTACAAAAAGGGAAGGAAACACTTGCATAATTGCCACACTCTTTCAGAAATACATGAAAAGGAAATCCCTTGTTTTTAAAGCAGAAATGTTGGGTGTAGGTTATTTATTCAGCATAGCTGAACGCGGGGGGGGGGGCGGCAATGTGCAGATTCTTAATGGAGCAAAAGGTGTTTCTAAGCTGACATTTTTCTGTCTCATTAGCTGGAAATCTACATATCAGAGGGGGCTCATTCTATTGAGGAAGACAGTAAGTATACCTTCAGGTTGCGGTTAGAGTGAAATATTTTTAAGGGGGAAAACGCTGTTTAAAACTGATCACCTTCATTTCCCCCCACAATGAAGACCCAGAGATGGGTTGAATTGAGTGTTCCATGCTTGGGAGTGGATAAGGGTGGGAGGGTAGACCCCGCTCTGCTGCACCAAATATTGTGTATAGGTCATTATTAAAAGAGAACTCCATTGTTAGAGGTTAGACCTTCATCACAGGGAACTTCCTAAAGTCATGCCCTCCAAGTTGTCCCTTAGAAGAAAATTTCCTGGGGGAGTAGTAAGGCAGATAGGATTTCCACTAGGTAGGAGCTGATGCGTCTAAGTGAAGCCCACCATGAGACATTGGTTTCGTACTGTTGCAAAATAAAGATTAAAAAGTTGCATATCTTTTCACCTTACTGTTGCATTATGCCGCTGCAAGTAGTAATTATGATGCTACCATAATTTTTCATTTAGAAGATTGATGGATAATACATCCTGAGAAAAATAAAAAAGCAGTTAAAGGTATGAAGATGGCACATAATCAGTGAAAAAAACCAGCCAGTCCCTCCTGAATCATTCCCTCTTAATCCCAAAGGTGCTTTACTTTGTTTTTACTTCTTGGATGAGAAGTGAAATGTCTTTAAGCGAAAACAAAGAAAGTCCAGTTGCCTTTTGAAAAAGCACCTTTGGGACAACCATGACCTGAATAACAGAGAATCTCCATAGACGTTTACTTTTAATATTATGACGTGGATTGTAGTTGCTTTGATGATAAATTTGCTTGGTTTCCAGTCAAAAGCTTCTTGAGAATTTTTCCATTGTGTTGCAGTCAACAAACAAATCAATGATAAAGAGAGAGTCGCAGCAGCAATGGAGAATCCCAGTTTGCGGGAGATTGTGGACCAGTGCGTGCTGGACCCCGACTGACTTGGAATATCTGCCTCCTTTGTATCAACTTCTTTATAACATTACCTTGAATTTAATACTGAAAATTATTTTTAAAGAATCATTTTGAAAGCATCCAATTAATTGCAAACAAGAGGAATGAGCAGACCAGATCAATCTCAGATGAACTGTATAGAATAAAAAGTTAATATTCTCTTAAAATTGGTATTTTTAAATATGAACAATTTTTATTGCCAGGTTATAAAAAAGAGATTGGACAACCAGTCTGGAATGGTAGGTCTTCTGCTCAAAGGGGTTTAGACTAGAGGATCTCCAAGGTCCCTTCCAATCCTTGTATGTTCTATGAATGTGTGTTGTAATTTTTGAAATCCAATTTCAGTTGATTTTTCCACTAATGGGGTATATATGAATAGCTATTCTGTTAAAGGTGAATAAAATAGAGAATTGTTGAAAAAATGTTTTTTGCTATCATTGCATTTCCCGTATAAAGGGGAAAGGATGTGTCAAAACAGATGAATAGGCCAGAATCCATAAAAGCAGAACTCCTATAATCACATGGCACCAATGCTGTTGGCACTTGGCATTGAAAAAGCCAGACTGCCATACAGTGAAGAGTCTTTCTGGGACACAGAAGCTCGGTGCAGTCTCCCACTGAGGCCCTGGTGCCACTGTGGCCACTCACATAGGCTGCCTCATGCCTTCCCCCACCCCCATGACCCTTGTGGCATGGCGGCATTGCTCTACGGCCCAGTCTTCTCCAGGATCCCCCACTCCCCGCGTCCCTTCAGGCTCTGCTTTCTCCAGTAGGCCCTGCAGCCCATCCAAGGCTGCTCTGGGTCACGAGGCTTTGTTCTTGAAGCAGCTTCAGAGAGGCCTTGCCAGCCTTTAAACATGTTGCGAAAGCACCCTCACTCTTGCATGCTTTTCGAAGGCTCTGCAGGCCACAAATGGGCACACCCCATTCTAGTGTTGCCTCTGAAAATTGTACAAGAATGGGGCATACTTTCAAGAACGGTTGTTAGATGTTGGTGAACACTGGCATGTCAACTTCAACATGTGGGCCCTCAGTTTGCATCACCGCACTAAGCCATTCCCCTCCAGCCCCCCCCCGAAAAGCCAGCGAGGACAGCCACTCCTGCTCCACGCAGACTCCCCAGTGAGCAGCTCAGACTGTCAGGGATCCCCCTTTTAATTTCACTCCTCCTGCCCTCAATTTCTGCCCTTCTGGGACTCCTCAGCACTTTAGATCATTCTGGCAAGCGAGATAAGCTGCTCCTTGCAGAGAGCCTACCCCTCGGATCAGACGCTTCCTGGCCCATGGCCAGGGCATCCCGCTGGGACTGCTGCAGCCTGGCTCTCCTTGGCCAGCTGGCCTCCAGGCCCACTGGCTCTTCTACTCCACCCACCACCGTGGCTCAAGAAGCAGCCGGGCTTGGCGACCTCCCAGGTTGATGTTCCTCACTGCTCAGCCGTTTGCAAGTAGGCAGGAGGGCAAACTGGCGTCTTGTTACCAAGACTTGGCCAGGCTGCGGGGTGAGACTTTTCAGGGAGACAGACTGAGAGTTGGAGCATCTGCACCATTAAAATCCCAATCGCCAAGGTGTGAAGTGGAATCTTTGAGAAACATCCAAATTGGCACAAGTTTTGAGCAGTTCCTGATTGACCTTTGCTGCCTTCCAAAGCCACGTGGGAGGAGTTGAATCTCGCTGAGCGAACACGGGCGCGATTCACTCTTACATTCGAGCAGATTGTAGTCCCGCTAAGCAAGCACAGAGACTAAGATGAGATGGGTACAATTTAAACATTTAACAGAAAAACAAAAATACAACAGGATTAGATGTAACTTTGCTATTGCAGTTTAACACACTTGAGAGCTATAGCCTTTAAAAATTTAGAAAGGTATTACAATACTTTTCTCCCAATCAATTTTCAATGTTTCTGATATGTTGATTGGGAAATTTCATCTTAGAATGAGGATGACATTTGGTATTCAGAAGCAGACAAATTAGTCTCGTGGTTAAGGCCCTGGAGTTCATGGATAACTACAGGCCAGTCCCTTTCTCTTAGCCCTAGATAGGGGAGTCAAAACACATCCCAGAAAAAACCAGGGCCAATAGCTTCCACAGCCTGCTACAAATACTGCGCAGCCCTGCCCATGCAGCCACCACAGCCTTCTCCCCAAACAGGCAAGTAGGCAAAGCCATGCCATCCTTCCTTTAAAACAGGGCAATTCTTTATGTTATCTGAAGATTACACAAAGTTTGGACGTGTGGCCTGTGTAGACTTTTAAGGAAACTCCTGCACCATTTCTCCAATTTCAGGGTGCAAGTAAGAAAGCAATGTATTTTTGCCACTATGGCTAACAATGAAATTACAAATGCAGAAAATGTAGATCCGATATCAAGTGTTCTTAGTTCACAAAGGAAAGTGAACAATGCTTTGGGGAGACTCGGTTGTGCAATGAAAGGAGGCAGAACAGCTGCCAGTCAGGTAAGTTTCCCTTTAGTCCCTCACCTGGGCAATTAGGCAGACTGGCCTCTGTCCTGCAGCAGTTACAGGCATCGTTTTGGCTTGCAAGTCTCAGGTGGCCCCACATGGCAAGTCAGGTTGGCACAGGATTGCCAGCCCCGCTGGAGGACTTACTAACCCGCCCACAGCTGGGTGGCCTAGAAACACCTGACCGTCTCAAGAGCAGTAGCACCGTTTGTGTGTGTGTGTGTGTGTGTGTGCATGTGCATGCATGCACAGCCAGCACCGGGATATTTAACTTCACTGTCTGAAGCTCCTCACATCTATAACAAGAAAAATCTTTGTAGTTATAACCCAACCAAATGATCAAATTATATTCTGTGGAATGCTACATGCTCATTTGCATAAAATATAAAAATAGTTGGTTTTATTCTTTTTTTAAAAAAAATCACTCCTCAGGAGTTTTGTGCTGGCCTGCCAACACTGAGTGACTATGACCAACTGTAGCACCAGAGATATTTCTGAGGTGGCTTCCAAAAGCTGCTTTCCTGGGGCCAGGTTGTGTGTGCCCCCGCCAGCTGTTTCCAATGCTGTGGGCTCAAGGCTTCTCTCGCTGCCTGGAGCACAGCTCAGCCACAGGATTGAGCACCACACCAGGCAGAAAATATTGGTTGGTTTCTGAGCACTTGTGGACCGAAGAGCTGACTGGCTGAAGTGGGTCTTCTCCAGCTCTCGCCCACCAGAGCTTCCTGGGCATGGAGGCATTCACTTCCGGGAGGAGCGCTCATCACCACGATCCCGATGGAGCAGGCCATGTGGGTGGCAGGTCTGGCAGCACTGGACACTGACTGCGGGCAGGTGGCATCTTCCCAGCCACAGCAGGGTCTGGCAGAAGCCAAAGGAGAGGTGGTCGCGCTCACAGATGAAGCCTGGGAAGGAAGAGAAGGCAGATACGGGGGGGGGGGGGTATTACACAACCTCACTGAGTGGCAAACATTGGTTTGGTTTATACCTACTTTCCATCTAAGTGGGTTAAGAGGTTCACCCAACCTCCTGCCCCATCAATAACCCCACTAAGCATGTTGTGTAAGCCCAATCAATCTCTGTATCCTTCTTCAAAACAGCAATAGCCCCAAGGATGAGGGCCTTGGTGCCTATTGCTAATGACAGTTTGCCACTTAGTATAAAGTCTCTTTGGGCAGAAGGCCAGATAGCAGCGAGCTACTCTGCAAATGCAGCAGGAATGGGTTGGAGTCAGGTGACATTTGGACATCTGGCCTGGACATCTGTCTCAGATCTGGGGCCTTACACAGGCCAGATGTCCTAGAGAGAGTCCAGCTGTGCGCAAATGAGTTCATCGGTCTTCTGCAGACAAACCAGGTAACCAGCCCAGAGGTACTCCTTCACTACCAAGTAATTAGCCATGAGGCTTAAAGAGGTCTTCTCTCCAAATCTGCCCAAGCAGGCAGCCGTGCCGCAGCCAAACCTTTGCCACAAGTTTCACTGATGCCAATCTGGAAGCTGCCCAGATGCCATAAATAGACCTACCAGTCACCTACATGTGGAACAGCTGCACACAGAACCAACACCAGTACCCTCCTTATTCCGAAGGCCCCTGACAGGCCCAGCCAGAACCTCTTGGATAATTGTCCAAATAGCCAAAGTCCACACACTGCCCTAATAAGGGGCTCTGGGCAATTCAGCCATCAGCAGCCATCCCAGATGCCCACTTACCTGCTTCGCTGTCAGGACAATCCTGGGAATTGCATCTCTGGTTGTTCTCTGGCCACGGTTCGTGCTCACACAAGCTACTGTCTTCTTCTGCCTGTCCGGTTTTTGTGTTCAGGCACTTCACTTGCCTCCTCTGGATACCCTCGCCACACGTGGCCGTGCACTGCAGGGAACAGAGCTCTCTGAGCACTGCTTGCCCTGCGGTGAGGGCACAGAGAGGCTGGGGGCCACGTCACGGAAGGGGGCTTACCTGCCCCCAAGATCCCACTCTCCACTTGGTGCAGGGCTGGGTGTTGCACAGTCTTGTACTGTTTGGCCGGAGGGCTGGGTCACACCTCCCCAATCCGGGACACGTCACCAGGCGCTCTTGCTCACCTCCTCCACACAGTTCAGAGCACTGGAAGGGTGGAAAGAGGCATTGGGCTGAGAAGCCGCTGGGATGGCCAGGCATCCTGGTGTTCCCTTCCTGCTAAGCCATTCCTGCAGCTCCAGGCCCTGGGCCAGTCTTCAACGGTGGAGCAAATGTAGCCAGAACACACACACACACACCCCAGAAGTAAGCAAGCCATGAATTGCTGGCTTCCAACTCCACTGAAGATATTCTGGAACTGCAGGAGCCATTTCTTGTGCAGCCCAATTCTCCTTCTTGGGCATGCTGGGCTCCAAGGTTTATATGGGGAAAAAGCAGGAGAATCCAGTGGGCTTTCCTTCAGAGGGAATCATCACCCAGCAGAACAATAGCTGTGAGTTAAAGCTCTAGCATGTCAAACATGCCCTCTCTCTCTCTTTCTCTCTTTCTCTCTCTCTCTCTCTCTCTCTCTCTCTCACACACACACACACACACACACACAAATCCCAGTCTGTCCAATAGGCCAGCTGGCTCTTACACCGGATGTATGTCTTGGGGGACAGAACTAGCGAGTAAGGGTCCAGGCTGCATTCAGAGTCTTTCCCCACTTCCAAAGACTTCCAGCTCACCTCTCTCCAGGTGGAGGTGTACCAACTTAGACAGGGCTTGGTGTGGCACGGCAACTGCATTGGAGGCTTGTATGAGGCAGTTTGGCAGTGAAAGGGCCGCAGAGGTCGCTGACCCCGTGTATCAATGCAGTGGATGCTCCGAACCCTCACACCACCTCCGCAGGTCTTGGAGCACTGGCGACAAACCAGAAAGAGCACAATCAGAGCAGAACATGAGCCACGTCTTCTGAGGTATGGCACAGAGCAGAAACCTGGCCACCAAGAACAGAGGTCTGCCTTAATGCCAGGAACCCACTGATCCTCGGGGATACTGACAAAGGCCATCCGGTCCAAACTCTGCTCAGTGTTGGATTTACCACAAAGGGTGGAAGGAGAGCAGTCCTGCAGATGGCTACTCAAAAGAATCCCTCTGGAGGCCATTGGCTCGTCCACCAACTAACTTTATGGAAGTTTCCGAAAAGAGCTGGTTGGAAATCGCTGTTTTGCCATTTCTACCTCCTGTTTTTAGGCCTGCCTTTGGAAATAACCAAAAAACATGTATACTGGTTCCTGCTCGAGAGATCTTCCAATCCTTCAGGCCGATTCTCACCTCAGATATTTAAGCATCTGGTTCGCAGCCAGAATCTCCAGCTCTTGCCAACGTTCCTCACAGACAGTAGCTAGTTGGCTAGCTAGATCCTCATTCTGGATACATTTCCCCTCAGAATTGAACCTAATACGTTTCTCTCCTGAAATACTGTTTTTATCAAGTAACGCCTTTGCCCAAGTCCATTGAAACAGAGTAAAAGAAAACAATCGATGTGCATCTAGGTCAATTGCAAAGCCATTTCTGGCCAGAAACATTTGCTAGCACCCTGGATGATTCTCCACATTTCCTCTCTAGTCGATGCCAGAGAAGGAATCAGGGAATGCCCTGTGAAAACATCTTCTCTGCTCAGAAAACACTCTTGTTGACATGATTCGCTGGCAATGCTCACTCAAAGGAGCGCTGGGGGTGGACGGGGGCAGGAAGGAACATCAAAGAGTCCGAGTAGCTTCTCTTCACAAGATCTACCCCTTGCCTTTCAGATCAGAAGGGAGGGAGAGTTAAGCTAAAACCCACGTCAACTTATAAGTAATCTTGGCAGAGAGCCGAGGGCAAAAGGAAAAATCCACGGGACAAAAGGATGCGCACTCCCATGCACAATTAATCAAAAGTCTTTGTTTGGCATTAGGTGTGTCTACCTTACTCCATTTCCCAATGTGCCACTTGGAACACGGCCTCAGATAACATCGCCGGGCAGGAGTGGGCTTTGTAGTCAAGTCACAGTCGTCCTCTTTTCCGGTGCTGCAGTGCACAACCCTCCAAACAGCCCCAAGGCCACAGGTTGTAGAGCACTAGGAACAACAGGAATCCCGTCAGCCTCTTCCCTTTTCCAAAAGGAAGTCATCCCGCCTCTCCTTCTGGGCTCTCTGGAAAGCGCTGGAACACCAGCTGCGCCCCCTCCCCAGGGACCCCATTCCTGCCTCCTTTCCCCCTGGCCGTCCACGAGTCACAGCTGGCCAGGAGGGAGGACACTCTTTGGACAGGTTTCAAAGCCAAGCCCCAGTCAAGACAGAAGACTGTATTTCTGCAGCCTTCTAACTTTCTGTCTTTTGAGGTCCACAAAATGACCCATATCGTAAAAAGAACTTGGCTGAGGCAAGAAGGGAGAAAAGGGGAGAAGCAAAATGATTGGCTGGAGATCTGCCCACAGTGATAATACTCTTAGTTTTTCTGAGAACTTACCCCACTCCAGTTTCCAGCTTCCCAGCTAGCGTTGAGAGCAGCTATTGCAATAGCAGCAGCAGGCACTACAGAAGGTGCCATCTTCTCTCCTGGTTCCTGAAACCTCGCCCCAGGCCCGCCAGCCCCTCCTTTACTGCTGGCAATTGGCACATGGGGAGGTGGACTTTCACTTCTGCCTCTGGAGAATTCCCGGTCCTCAGTGGAAGGCATAAGCTCAGTGTCCAAATCTGTCTTAATCTGATTCATTTGCTGCTGGTTTGAGGGAAGCAATGGAGAAGGAGAAAAGTTGGGAAAAGGTGAGCCCCGATCCAAAGAGTTTGATTCAGTTGGTATCTGTGGTGTCAGAGGGTCTGGATGGCGAAACGTTCTGCTGAATCCCGACAACTGGTATGCAGACGTGGAGAAAGGCGTCCCTGACGGAAGCTCAGCGGTCAGCGAGGGGGTCTTCTGGAGAAGGTCCCATCCTGAGGGGCTGCTTGCCTCCAGAACAGAAGCAGGCGAGGAGGCTTCAGCAGAGGGAGAGAGATGATGGGCGAGGTGGCCGGGTGGCCCAGTTATTCTTGCCGTTGTCGTTGCAAATGAATTTACCGGATTTTCTTTCACTCTATAGGCAGTAGCTGTATTACCTTCACCAAGGACAATGGCTCTGTCTCTATGCTTTCTGCTGGTTTCTTCCATCAAATGATTATCGCTGCTATCACTGAGGTTGGGAAACTTAGGGTCCTGCATCCTTCCGCCAGGATTTTCTGTGCTGCTAAGAGTACCAAATTCACTTCTCCAATAGTTGTCCTTGGCAGAAGACATTGTTGGAGTAATTACATCCAAGTCAGGAGAGCTGGTGGAGGAACCAGGTCTTGCAGTGCTGTCTTTCAAAAAAGTAGTTGCAAAAGGAGGTTCTTGAGTAGCACCACCCAATACATGGTTGTTGCTCTCCAAAGGAGAGGACTTCACTGTTTTAGTGGAGGGGAGATTGTCCGAAAGTGATGGCTGGAAGTTTTCCCGATGAACTGAAGCGGAAGAGCTGGCGGCAACTGGGGTAACAAAGGGATCCTGTAAAGTGCCAGTTGTGCTACTGCCCTGAACGTTATCGTGCACCTTCTCATATTCCTGCCCAACAGTGGGAAAGGTGGAACCTTGATTAGCCAGCTTGACTTCCAGGTCTGTGGTGGGGGAAAGATCAGGAAGCGTTTCTTGGGGATCCGCCTCCACCTTGTGAAAAATCTTGACCCCAAAGTTGGGCTTCAAATCTTCCTTTCTACTGTTCTTTTCCTCAACCAGCTCATAAACCAAATCCTCATGAAAATTGATAAAATTATAATCATAATAAAAGTCATCCACAAACACATTTCCCTTCTTATGGTTGTTGGGGGGGAGAACTTCCCCTGCAATAACATTTTCAGATTTGGGAGCTGAAGGACTAAATTTGGGGGCAGGATAATTGGGGATGAAATCGATTTCGTTGAACAGTTCCTGGCTTGAAGAGCCACTTCCAGACCAGTCGGGAGCAGCACCCTCCGCCCGACTCCAGCAGGGGGGAGCCCAGCAGTCGAGCTCAGCGGCCGGTCTTTCCGCTGGATCGCACTTGGCTCTGGTGTCCGTGGGGCAGAAAACGGGGCGCCTTCGGGTCCCTTTCCCACAGGTCACTGAGCACTAGAAAGGCAAACCAGAGGAGTTCCAGAAGCGAGTGGCTGCTAGCCGGAGGCCCTTGCCAGAAGCAGGGAAGACGGGGGAAAAGGAAGCTGGCCTCCACCCTCCACTTTCAGAACTTGGGGTTTCAGAATTAACCATGCTCTACAGAAGATAAAATTTGATTGTGGGTCAAGGGACAACTTAAAGAAAAGTCTAGCTCAGGATAGAGAATTAAGGCTAGAAGAAGGAAGAGGCTGCTTTGCTGAGGGGAAAAAGGCGATTTGCAGAACTTTGGCTGGTCCCACAGTTCAAAATTAGTGAAGACTGACATTTTGCCAAAGCAGAAATCGTGTCCCGCCTTGGAAGGGGAGGGTCAAGGGCAAAAAGACAGAAGAGAGGCCCAAAGGGCTAGGAGAAAACCCACAAATTCCCACCAGGCCTCTGTCCTTCTTCCTGACATCCCAAGGTTCCTATAACCTTTGCGATGTGATTCTCTCACCTTTGACCAGTTGCCCGTGACCCACGGTGCCAAGCAGAGGACTTCGCGGTTGCAAGCGGCTGTGGTCTCTGGTTTGGTGAGATGTTGACACTTGTCTGGCGGTAGAGCTTGCTGCTCATCCAAGGCCACGCTCTGAATGCAGAGGACGGTCCTCTTCATCAGTCCAGAGTCGCCACAGGTGGCCGAACACGCCTGCCACTCACCAGCCCACCACCTGTGGAAACCCACAGACTGAATGAGGAGGTCACCACGACATCCATTCTGGACCCACACGGGACCTTTTGCTATATCCCGGACTGAGCATGTGCAAGTCCCTGAACCTATCCTCAGAAGTCCAGAGGGTGACCTGGAGACCCTTTTGGGGAGACTATGGCCAGCTTCCTCACAAAGATGGTCTCTGCAGGCACAGAGCTGGGTGCTGCCATAGAGGCCCAGCCTCAGGTTATGGCTGAGCCCCAAGCTCTGCAGAATTGGCAGAGGAGCATTCTTCTCCCAGACGTTTATTTTTGGGCAGAATTTTTCCTTTCAATGGTGGAGCATCCTACAGTTTGAATAGCTTTGGGCAAGCCCAAGAGCTGACCTGGCTGGACATGGTTCCTTGTTGCAATTCCTTCGCTGGTCATCAGGCCGGCTAAGAGCATCACAGTACCGCTCCTCCACAAACCCAGCGGCTTTCTCAAGGCAACGCACCATCTGTCTCTGGACCCCTGAGAACGGGAGGAGAGAGCGCTTAGGGAGGGAGGGAGGGAGTCTATCTGCGCACATGCCAAGGGGCAAGGATACATGCTGGGCACGGCTTAACTGGGGACAGAACAAAATCCTTTTGTGTGGTGTTGTGGTTCTCACCTGTGAGCAAAAGTCAGAGAGGAATTTGAGTTCTCCCATGACTTATAAACTTGCAACTTAATTTTCATTTCAAGTTGAACCCGAACCTTGAGTTCAGTCGCAACTTGGAATCCCTCTGCAAATGTCCAGGCAGAAGTGCTTCTGCATGTATGCTGGGTTACACTCCATTCCTTTGTGGGTCTTAAATTCTGTCTGAAGCACAGTCAGGCTCTCTCCAGAGGAATCGGCTGCCATCATCTCTTTGCTGGTCTCCAATGAGCAGGGCTATGCCAAAGAAGCCCCTTCCCAACCCAGACCCGGGCCAAGCCCCGCTCTTGTTGCTGCTGAGCTCAGCTTGCTGGGCTGCTGCTTCACTGGCCAGGAAGATTTAAAGCTTCCTGCACTGTTTCATAAGATCCGACCGATCTGGTGCCTCAAAAGCAGACCCTGTCACGTGAGAAGCACACATTCCTATCCTGATCCTGACTGTTCTTTTAGAATGGAGAGCCGGATGCTGGCTCCCCTGGTCTCTGAACTGCCCCACAGCAAGAACCAGTCCAATTTGACTGCAGCCGGACAGTTGCTGCTACTGCTCATGCCGCCAAGAAAGCAGCTTGCTGTCCAGCAGGCAAGTCCTCACCTGTCCCACAGGTAGCTGTGCATTTTGTCCAGGGTCCATAGTGCCAGAAGAACTCAGCTGGAGCAACCGAACTCTGATTCCTGGACTCCTGCTGGATGGTGTACTGATAGCAAACTCCCGGGTTCTTCTCTTGAAACAGGAGCTGAGGGCAAGCAGAAGCACACTTGAGCTAAGCAAACCAGGATATTGGGGAAACACAACAGTGAAGCATAAGGCCTCAAGAAAGGATCCCTTTCCCTCAAGGCCATCTCCACAGCTCACTACAAAATGTACAATAGGCTTCCCCCAAAGAACTGGACACGATCTCATCGTATGAATTAATGCATCTTCAAATTTCCTGAGCAGGATGTGAACCTTTGACCTCTGAGGCATTTTTCACAAGATAAATATAGAAAGGAAAGGAGAAGGAGAATGGAAGATCTGGCTTTCTTCCTGAGGGTGAGGAGAGGAGGTGGGAGGAAGTCTCATTTGTTCCAAGGCTTTTCACAGCCAATCAAACCCACACCAAGAAAGTGGGGAGACTGGGAAGGACGTGTTCTAGCAGGGTTAGAAGCCCAGACCGAGAGCCTCTGAGCTCCTCTCCGAAGTATTTCAGAGTCTTGGGCAACAGCAGGAATAGCTACGTGGGTGGAAGAGAGCTGACCAGCACCAAGCATCTCTTAAATCGCTTCCTTTGTTCTGGATCTCACAAGTGGCTATTCAGCAGAGGAACAGAAGCCAGAAGAGGAACGTCGCTCCTTGGCTGAAGGCAATGTTCAAGCAAACTCCTCCCAGTGAGATTAAAAGCCTCCCAATTCATTAAATCCAGGACTTCCTTCTCTCCAAACTGAGAGCGTTGATTTTAAAAGTAACTTATTTGATTAATGTGCTGGCCAGGCTTATTACCGTCAGGGTCTCAGAGGGGTCCCCACATTAACACCCGTCATTGGGAAAGTAGGCGCTTCCCCACCTGACCTGAACGCCTCCGTCTTTCCCTCCGTTCAGCACCCTCAGACCCACAAAGGGAGTCTCTGCTCCCAAGGCATTTGTGACTGTCTGCAACGGCCTGCATCATTCACGTTCTCTTTATCTGGGCTTTATTCTTTCCCCTAAAATTCAGCCCCCATCCAGCTCCCTGTTAATGTCTCAAGATCACCAGTACTTGGCGAAAAGAAGAGGTCTGCATCCAAACAGCAGAGGACAATCTGCCCCCCCCCCCGATCCCACCGGACTCTGTTTTCTTGACTAAAAAAAGGCACAGATATAAAACCTGAGAATGAATGCAATGTTGTTGGTCCCGAAGCCCGTCTCTGCCCCTGGAGAACCCCAGGCTGACTTCAAGCTTTCCAAGCAAGGCTGGGAAGAAACCCTGCCACTCCTGCTGTTCTCCAAGAGTCCTCTGGGCAAATGAACTGATGGCTCCAACTCCATGGCAGCCGTCTACGGCACAAGCAGCCTTGCCCAAGCAGTGACCTAAGCACGGAACTTGCCACCCTCCAGCCCGTTTCTCGTCCTCCAGAGCCCGGCTGCAAATCCTCCTTTGCCTACCTGAATCCAAACGGGTTCTTCTGTGGGCCCTGGAGAAGTCAGGTTTTCCCAATTTCCCATCCTCTTGTAGGTGAAGGTGGTCCCAGCCACCTTGTAGTCGCCGTTCCACTGGATGGTCCAGCCACCATTCAGGAAGTATTTCTTGGGGTCCTCACTTCTCAAAGCCAGGAAGTTCTCTGCTTCGGCCACCTCCACGATCTGGATCTCACGTGCTCCAGCCGGGATCAGGCCAACATCAACGTAACCTGTTGGGATGCTGAATGCTTGTCACCAGCAGGCAACAAGGGAAGGTCCTCGTTCCCACCAAGTGAAATGGACCCACTCTTTCCACGGCTACACAGGGAGCCTCCTAAACGTCTCCCGAGAGCTTCTGTCTATTCTAAGGGAAATCGCTCTCAAGGAGGCCCAACCACCACTGGAAAAAGATGCGGTTGTGCTTTCGCCAGAACTTGCAAGAGGTCAGGAAATCCTCCTGTACTCCCCAAAGGAAGGCATGTAAGCACACATTTCATGGGAAGCAACAGCCCAGCCACTTCTATGAGATCCACTTCCTGCCCAATCCTTTGGGATCACAGCATTTCAAACCTCTCCCCCTTACATCCTCATTTGTCCTAACCCTTCCTGACACAGCACAGCTCAAATATTAAGAAATCTAGAACTTCTCAGTTTTACAGAGGAGCAAAGAATGGTAAGAATTCACAAAACTCTGAAGCCTTCTCCTGCCCACACCAGCCTTCCCGAAATGAAGGCGCACTCACCCAGCCCCTCGCTCTCCTCAAAGGTCTTCTTAACTGTCTGACAGGTTGATCCATCCCCCTGGCACACACCACACCGGTCCTCCACAGCATAGGAGTCAATCTCATAGTCGCAACCAATGTTCTGAAAGAGATGGGGGGGCAATGGGCACCCTCCTGAGCCCCCTCTGGGAGAGCCCTGCCTTGCCATCCTGGGTGCCACCTGAGAGACAGGTGCTCCCTTGGCGGGAGCTCTTCTCAGTTGGGAAGGAGCATCCGCCACCCCAGCTCACCCCCTTGAGGACAGCAGCTGTGCTCCCCGTGCAACAGGACCAAAGCTGTAAACATCCACTCTCCCCTGGCCAGTGATTAAGAGGGCCTTAAAACACCAAAGCCCTCCGTGCTCTTAATCAGTCCTGCGTGAAGAGCCTCCAAATGGGGTCTCAGAGGATTCCCTTTCGGCACCCCAGTCTGCTTGGGCAGAGCCACCCAAGGAAGGGGCAGAGCCGGCACGTTTGGTTTCTTCTTGGGTCGCATCCAGCAACCCCAGGCTGCCTCGTTTGCATCTCTGGGCTACTGCACCACGGGAACCAAGCCCAGGTGACTCAGTAGATCACGAAACATGGGCAGCTGGAGTAACTGAGGTAGCCCTTCTCGAGTCAAGCAAGAGCAAGCATGCTGTGCTAGCAGAACCACCGCCTCCTCCTTTCCTTGGAGTCTACCATGCAAGCCCACGGTACCATCCACCCTCAATAGGTGAAATTTTAGATATGCCGGCGGGGGGGAGAGAATCCCCCCACACGCCTACCTTACAGATCCCGTTAATGCACCTGTCTCGCTTGCCGCTCCCTTCATAGCACGGGGTCCCATCAATGGCAGCATCACGAAGCTTTTCAGCAAAGTACTCCTTGTCGGGCCGACAGTGCAGCTCGCAAGGGTTGCCTGCCGAGACCAGAGGAAAGAGCCTGAGGGCCCAGGAGCTCCCGCCCCAGGCCTGCCAGCAGGACCCGCTGCAGCGCAGAAGCCCCAATGAGAAAAGGACTCCGCGACTCACAGAAATGGCTTCAGAAGCAATCAAGGGTACAGGCGGCCTGGTGCCCACAGGCGAGAGCACAACTCTGGGTGGTAGATATGGATTTTAGCGCCCACCGGATTCTTCCTTATTTCTTATAGAATCACAGGGCTGGAAGGGACCTAGGAGGTCTTCTAGTCCAGCCCTGCCCAAGGAAGGGGATCTTATACCATCCCGGACAGATGATTGTCCAATCTTTTCTCGAAAACCTCCAGTGATGGAGCACTGATCCAGCTCTGGAAGTCACAGAGCACTCGGGACTCTGCGGGGTGAGAGCACATCCTAGAATGTTAGTTCATCTTCTGGAAAAGGGCAGCTTTGTGACAGATTTGTGCCGGCCACAAGAGCCACCTGGGGAACAGGTAAGTCCCAAGGGCACCATTTGGTAAATGCCCCCTTGCACTCGTTACCCCAATTCGCACACCGCCTCCCTCCGGGCAGACACGCGATCCTCCGCTTGAGAGAGGCTTACTGGCATTGGGGACGGGGCTCCACTTGTAAAGCTTTCCTTTGTAGGGCCGGTGGTCAAAACGGCTGCACTGGATCTGCCGAAAAGAGGGCTCCCCTGCCGGACACGGCTGTGCGTTGCAGACCCTGAAGCGTTTCCGTTCTCCCAGGCAGTATCGCCCACCATACTTGGGGCTGAGGATTGGGGAAAAAAACCCAACTCATCTGCTTGAAGGAGAAACCATCCTCCCCAGCCTGCCTAACTAAGCAAGTCGGGGCTGCTTCCCTGAAAAGGCTGAAGGCCAGACGGGACTGAAGGAAGAGTCCCCCGCAGAGGCCTGCTTCTTGGGCAGGTGACCAGTCACTCACGCAGGATTGTTGCATGGCCGCTCCGCGTTCTGCACTCCAGCCCCACAAGTCCGGGAGCAGGCCGTCCAGGAGCTCCAGCCTGTCCAGCCTCCATGGACAGACTCTGGGCGGTACCCGACACTCACACACTCTCCGTTGAAGCACCACTGGAACAAGCAGAGGCCCATCGGTGACTAAGAGGTCTGGGGTGCTTCCTGAAGGGGCGGGCCACCTTTCCAGCCCATGGCTAGTGGACGTGTCACTCCCTCCATCATGCACTGTTAAAAGGAGGGTGGTGGCTCATGTGGTCAGAACGCTGGGTTGACAATCTGCAAGCCCGCTGCCAACGAGACCCGGGTGCTCTTGGAACTGGCCACCTGGCAGGAGCAGAACCACTTGCCAGTTTTAGCCAGGCAGCCATCCAGAAGGGGGGCATCAGCCAGGACACTAATGCTGGCACGAGAACCACCCTGTTCTGTCACTCTCACTCTTCCGGCAACTCCTAAACAGGCAAGCAGCCTGCCATGAAAAGGGCTCAAGAAAACCAGTTGCATTCAAGAATGGCTGGAGTGACTATGGCCACCCTCTTGGACATTCCAGGAGAGAAAGCTGCAGCTGCCTTTTAAAAGGTGCCAAAGCTTGTCCCTCGCTGGACATCTAAGACAACTGCCCATCAGACGCTGTCTCCCCACACCCAGCCGGTGCTCAACAATTAAGGGAACAGCATACATTGTGCAGTTGGAGATGCCCTTCAGCTCCAGAGCATCTTGCAAAGCATGCCCACTGAAAGAGACTTCTGAGCAGAGTTCCGTTTTGCTCCAGGGTTTGTGTTGGACTGCGAATGCCTCCCTGTGACACGGCATGATTTAGCCAAGATGGCATTTGGGAAGCAGCTGCAGGGCTGAGGCTTTCTGGCCCAGAGGCGGGCTCCATGCCAGATCCCAGGAAATACCTTGTTCTCATCACACTTGGTGCCGTCGACAGCTGCGTCCAGCTTGGAGTGACATGTGTTCCCCACAGAGCACCAGAGGGTGTTGCAGACGCTCTGCGGAAAGAAATAAAATGCTCTGAATTTGTGGCCGGGGCAGGGAGGCCGAGCTGCTGACAACCCTGCCGGGAAGGTGGCTCTCTTCCTCTCCACGTGCAGCAGCAGGGCAGGTGGGGACCTTCCTCTTCCCAAAGGCGGAGGACAGGAGAAGGAGGCGGACGATGCGGGCTGCCCTTTCTAGGGAAAATGTTGCGATATTCCTGACAGATCCAGACCTCGCAGGAGGAAGGCTTCTGTCCCCTGCTGCCTGCCTGACAATTTTAAATGTACAATTCAAGAAATGTTTTCAATCCATTTTTGTAAGCTTTTAAAGATCACGGCAGGTACAGAAATACATACACCACATATTCTCTGATCCAGTGTTTCTCAGCCTTGGTCACTTTATGGTTTGTCCATAAAATCTTAAAGTGACCAACCTTGGGAAACTCTGCTCTAATCCGGTCCAAAGTCACCGGCCGACACCACCTCGTTTTCCTGAAACGCTTCTGCCACCGATGGGCCCCTCCTCAGAGGGACTTTCCCCCAGGGCCAGGACCCCCTCCGTAGTCCGCCCCCCCCTTACATCCATGTCATCGCAGTAGGTGGAGTAGGCACCATACTGGAGCCGGCACTGGTGGCTGACATCGTAGAGGACTCCGGGTGGAACTGAGGGGAAGCCGATCACGTCCTTGGCTGGGGGGTCATCCAGACAAAGCCCCCAGCCCCGGCTGCAAGGAGGCACATCAAGTAAGCAGGAGAGGGAATGAGAGAGGGAGGGAATACAATCTGAAAAGAGTCCAGAATACAGCATCCAGGCGGGTGACTCTCAACTCAGGGCACAAGGAGGGGGAAGGGGAGAGAGAGACCTTTCGCCTATGGAAAGCCCCTCCCCCAATTGCACCCCCTTCTGCTGCGACCTCCATCTGGTCCCCTCAGCCCACACAGATCAACAGGGCTTTCTTAATCAGAATAGAGCCAAAATGGTATAGGGTTTCCTGCCCGGGCAGGGGGTTGGACTAGATGACCTCCAAGATCCCTTCCAACTACCAACTTTATTATTATTATTACCGATTGCTCTAAATGCAGCAGCAGAAAAATAAAAGGGGTGCAGAAGACTCCCCATTCCGCTGCCTCCTGAGAGAGCGGGGGGGGGGGGCGGTTGACTTACTCCAGGAAGCGTGTGATGTATTCCCTGCTGCAGAGAGACCAGGTGAGGGGCGAAGTATCGTACAGGAGCTGCGGAGACATGATGAAAGGCCTTTTCCCAACTGGCTCACAGTCATTGCCGCTGCCGTCGTGCTGAATCCCAAAACTGCAAAGGCACAGCCCCCAGAGGAGGTGAGACACACATGCACTGGGGCGTCAAAGCAGCACCCCAGAGGTCTCTGGAGAGTCAAAGGAAGGACCGGGGAACAGGTTGAGGAAATCCCTTGTGGCTTCCAGGCATGTAACAGGGGAGCAAGAGAACGACACACACACCCATTAAACATCCTGCTAAGTTCCGTCCTGAGTGGACTGAACAAGTGGGCCTGGGGGAAGGGGGAGGGGCTTTTCAATCAATGCCTACATCTCTGGAGACACTGTCTGTTGGTGAAGGCAAGTTCCCACTTTGCCAAGGCCTGTGTCATTTTGTGTGTGATTGAAAAGGGTAAGGAGCAAGCCTGGGGGCAGGAGATGGGGTGGCAATTGTATCAACGGGGGTTACTGGGCCAGTGCGGAAGTGTCACCACCCAGAAATGATCACTAGATCTACACTTAGAACCAAACAACTTGCAAAGGCCTTTCATGAGATGGGGAATTCCGGGGACAACACATAGTAATAGTAATAGTAGTAAAGTTGGAAGGGACCTTGGAGGTCATCTAGTCCAACCCCCTGCTCGGGCAGGAAACCCTACACCATTTCGGACAAATGGCTGTCCAGTCTCTTCTTAAAAACTTCCAGTGTTGGAGCATTTACTGCTTCTGGAGGCAAGCTGTTCCACTGATTAATTGTTCTCACTGTCAGGAAGTTTCTCCTTAGTTCTAGGTTGCTTCTCTCCTTGATGAGTTTCCACCCGTTGCTTCTTGTCCTGCCTTCAGGTGCTTTGGAAAATAGCTTAATTCCCTCTTCTTTATGGCAGCCCCTGAGATATTGGAATACTGCTATCATGTCCCCCCTTGTCCTTCTCTTCGTTAAACTAGACATACCCAATTCTAGCAACCGTTCCTTATATGTTTTAGCCTCCAGTCCCCTAATCATCTTTGTTGCTCTTCTCTGTACTCTTTCTAGAGTCTCAACATCTTTTTTACATCGTGGTGACCAAAACTGGATGCAGTATTCCAAGTGTGGCCTTACCAAGGCATTGTAAGAGTGGTATTAATACTTCACGTGATCTTGATTCTATCCCTCTGTTAATGCAGCCTAGCACTGTGTTGGCCTTTTTGGCAGCTGCAGCACACTGCTGGCTCATATTTAAGTGATTGTCTACTAGGACTCCGAGGTCCCTCTCACAGTTACTACTATTGAGCATGGTGCCACCTATGCTGTACTTGTGCATTTGGTTTTTCTTGCCTAAATGTAGAACCTTGCTTTTTTCACCATTGAATTTCATTTTGTTAGTTAGTGCCCAGTGTTCAAGTCTGTCCAGATCCTTCTGTATCTGAAGCCTGTCTTCTGGAGTGTTGGCTATTCCTGCCAGCTTGGTGTCATCTGCAAATTTGATGAGTTCCCCATCTATCCCTTCATCCAAATCGTTGATGAAGATGTTGAAGAGTACTGGGCCCAGAACAGAGCCCTGGGGCACCCCACTACACACTTCCCTCCATATAGATGCAGTTCCATTGAGGACCACTCGCTGAGTACGGCCGGTCAGCCAGCTACGGATCCATCTGGTGGTGGTTCTGTCTACCCCACATTTTTCTATCTTGTCAAGTAGTAGGTTGTGATCTACTTTATCAAATGCCTTACTGAAGTCCAAGTAAATTATGTCCACAGCATTCCTCTGATCCACTAATTTTGTCACTTGGTCAAAGAATGCAATAAGATTTGTCTGGCATGATCTATTTTTGACAAACCCATGTTGGCTTTTAGTAATGACTTTGTTTGCCTCTAGGTGTTCGTTGATTCGTTGTTTGATTATCTTTTCCAGGATCTTCCCAGGTATTGAGGTCAGGCTGATAGGTCTGTAATTTCCTGGATCCATTTTTTTTCCTTTTTTGAGGATGGGAACTACATCAGCTCTTTTCCAGTCCTCTGGTAGTTCCCCTGTGTTCCAGGGTAGTTTTTGTACACTTGGTGTCTCTCCTCCCATGACCCCTTTAGGTGAAGATGCACTTTCAATACCTTCTGTCAAGCCCTTGTTATTCAACCATTTCTCCCAGAATTTCCTTGACGTGACTCATAAAAAAGGAATGGAGTAAGGTTGCAGAAACCTCAACAACTAGACAACTTTCACTTCAGAGCCCAATTTACCTCTCAGCTTATTAGGGAGAGACTTTTTTTGGGGGGGGGGTTAGGTTTCCACTGAAGGACCCTGTGAACAAGGATGAGGCACACCATCTCCCTGGGGCTGAGACATGTGGATGTCTCCAGGCTCTAAACATGCTAGTGATCAACCTCTACAAATCTCTGCTCAGTCTTAATCTCGGACAGGCCAAGATGCCCGGCTGCAACCTTACCTGTGTCCCAGTTCATGGGCCACGGTGAAGGCCAATGGAAGACCCGTGTCCTCGTTCACGTTGCAGCTCCGGTGTGGTTGGCACATGCCAGAGACGTGGGCCAGGCCCAATGTCTCACATGGTCGGTTCATGGCAGTGCAGAGATCCTTCCTTTCCGAGTCAGGGAAACACACACAAACACACACACAGAGAGAGAGAGAGAGAGAGAGAGAGAGAGAGAGAGAGAGAGAGAGAGAGAGAGAGAGAGAGAGAGAGAACAAAAAAGAGGGTCACTATACTGAGCAAGACCCAGCTGGGTTGAAGGAAAATAAATTGGCAATTGGAGAACTCTAGGGAAAAAACAAGGGCCCAGCTCAAAAACAGAAGCAAACCAACATGCTCAGACATTTCAGATCCAGTTGCAGGACACCGGCACAGTGTGCCTCTCAAAATACTGTAAGACTGCTTTGTAATCTGGTGTCAGAGCCCCGTCTCCATCAAGAACGTTCTCTCTTCAAAGGAGTTCCTCACTTTCAGTGAGACTGACAGATGTTAGAGACGGCACTGAAGTCACGGGGATACCTGGTGAGCAAGATGGCGACATCATGGTGCAGGGGGTGAGCATCCCCCTTGGGGTTGATGGCTTTCTGCCACTTGCAAAAACTTCTCAAGGTGTTGTCGGCATGGTGGCTAATTTTCAGATCCTCCTACGTAAAGAAAATTAGAACCCTCAATTAACAGACAGAGATACTGCACTGGTATGATTATTATTGCCGACAAACTATTGAAAAGCATGAAAAGCAAATAAAAGCTATATCTATACCAGGGGTAGGCAACCTTGGCTCTTTTATGACTCGTGAACTTCAACTCCCAGAATTCCTGAGCCAGCCATGCTGGCTCAGGAATTCTGGCAATTGAAGTCCACGAGTCATAAAAGAGCCAAGGTTGCCTACCCCTATCTATACATATAAACAAACCCAGGGTACATAATTATTATTCGTAATTCCCCATTCTTCCAAAGCTGAGATTGTTGAACTCCTATAAAGATTTTATCTATCTCAGAAATTTGGAACAAACATAAACACCTACTGAATGTATCAAGACAGCAAAGCCAAAGAAATTCATGTGCAAAAAGGATTTTAGTAGCTGTCTGGATCAGCTTTCAAACAATGGCTAATGGCTCTTTGTAGCTAGCATTACAAGAAACCTAAGAAGGCAGTGAAATTGCTGCAGGAAGAAACAAGGGGACGCACAAACTACGGACCACCACAGAGGAAGGTGAAACAGAGGGGTGGAGACAACAGAATGAATATCCTCAGCTTTCTGCAGAGATGAGCAGATGCAGCTCTACATCATGTCTTCTCTGTTTCTTCTTACCTCTTCATCTTCCAGAAAGATGAGACGCACAATAGAAACGTGGACCGGGTTCCCAATGCTGGCATCATGGAATAAACCAGCCACCTGCATATTGGAAGAAGTGGAGTCCCTCAGTGAGCTCTGCACATGAGAAGGGAAGTTCTCTCCTGGGCCACAAACGCATCTCAAATGTTTCGATCAATGAAATTACCCCAAATCTCTCCTGCTCTTTCCCCAGCTGAGAGTTGCCCTTTGTCTGTTCCACAAAGGAACCACAACCAGCAACCTTTCGCAATGCTCACCATGTTCATGACTGTCAGGACATACTTCTCAACATGCCGGCTGCCGTGGTATTCCACCATCTTGGTGTCAGCCACCACCAGGGTCTCCACCCACTTCTCCTTACTGACCGAGCGTGGCTTGATCCGCCGCTTCCTCTGCTGCTTTTCCTCCCAACGCTCCCTCGACCTCTCTGAGCCATTGGCATATTCTGGAAATTGGAGAAGACGGGAGACGATGACATCCTAATACGGCTGGCTCCCTATCTTCACAGCTTAGGCCAACAACCGTCCTCTCCCAGGGTCTCCCAGGGGATCTGAGCTTTCCAGCCATTGTGCTTTAGAACTGGAACCAGGCTCTGTCCTTCATACCCACCCACCCCAATCCAGGAGTCACAGTGCCACCACCACTATCTGTTATGCCCGTTGCCCCTCCAGGTCCAGGCCCAATTCTGACCTCTCCTGCCTCATAACCCACTACCCCTTTAGTTTTCAGATCTGTCCTGGGCCGCTTTTCATTTCCCCAAATCAACCCACTTCCCCCACTTGAGGCTACCCAAGGACGAGGCAGAAGAAGGGGGAAATGTGGCTCCTATCCTCTGCCTACCCAACTTGGCTGCTGAAGGCCCTTCTCTCCCCCTCCTTTTATCCCACTGCACTAATCCTGGGAATCCCTAAAGGATGTTATTTGTTTTGGTGCTACCGCCAAGCCCTTTACTGGTCTAGAAATCTTTGTTTGCCTCCCATCTTTCTTTATTACTAACCAAAGGTGAGTAGGTAGAATGTGGGGAAGGTATGGGATGATGCAACCATTCTGTTCACATTTAAAGAATATTTAACTTTTATAAAAGAACTGAACGTGGGATGTCCGAAGACTTTGCTAGTTAGCCTTCTGGGCACTCACGCACGCCCACTGCCCCCAGGAGTCTCGGGCCCTCTGAGCAGCCCCTCCCTCCAGAACATAAACTCAGAGGAGGTGCCCACATTCCCTTGCTTTGATTGGCAGTTTCACCACCCAATCATCGCAAATACCAGGTAACTGAGGTCAACTGAAGACTGCCTCCTCCTCCCTTGTGCCCACCCCTCGGGAAGAGGCAAAGGGGGCTGCTTGGACACGCTTGAGCCTTTCTGGGATGCAAAGGGTGGCCAGTCGCAGGGCTCCTTCCTTCTGTCTGTCCCCACTTTCTGAAGGGGGGGGGGAAGGAATCCTGCTGAAGTGCATTTTTCCCAAGAAGCCTAATCCTGTTTCTTCTACGTGGGCTTCAGCAACCTTGAACACAATAAACAGAACTGCATCCTCCATGCTCAACCATTTCCCTCGCCCAGTGATTAGTTGGATGTTTTAGGTAAATGAGGGCATTGTCTTATTATGGGCTGCCTTCTGCAGCTGGAAGACTAAACGCCATGTTCGGTTTACTACCGATCAGACTGAGGAAGGAAGGAGGTCCGTTTCTTCTAGAGAAAAGGAGATGCCACAGAGGCAAAGCCTGTGGGCCTCTGCTCTGTAAACAGAGCAGGGGTGGGGAGGGGCTCGGGCCGAACAACAGCTGGCCAAAAGTTCAGTCCTAGAAGAGAGGTGGGTGTGCCATCAAATGGTTTCTGGAAGAAACTATTTTATAAAAGGAAAAGTTTACCACTACTTGGATTTGTGTGAAAATGTTTTCCATGACAATCATCAGGAAGAATCTGGGAGCACCATTTTTGTCTAGCCCATTTTATTAAAAGGCATAAACTGACGAGCTCCACCCTTTAATAAAACTGATTAGTCAGAAAAGGTGGACTCCTTTTGATTTTGGGCTCGCACAGCTCTGGTCTTCCTGTGACAGTTAAATCCACTGGAAATAGGATTTGCTTTATTTAAGCTCCTTCTTCAGATTTTTCTTCAACCGTAATTGGAATCTTCTCTTTGTGCCGGGAACTCAAGTCTCCTGAGCCTTTAAGAAGAGACTGAACTGGCCCAGGGTCTCCGGCTTGAGCAGAGGGTTGGACTAAGGTCTCCTGCTCAAAGGGGTTTAGACTAGAAGACCTCCAAGGTCCCTTCCAACCCTTCTATGTTGGGACCAGCACGGAGCACTTTTGCACCAGAGGCCTCTGCCCTGGAGGACTGGCAAAGCAGCTAAACTCTGTCCCAAGCCCCCACCTACAGTGGCCCAAGCCCCCCCCCAGGCAGGTGGTTTCCCAAATGGCTAGGGATGCTGGAGGGGAGGAGAATTTCACCAATAGCAGCAAAGCTGTAAAGACCTCCCCATTCTTGGCCCAGGAAAGGTCAGCAAGAGCTGGAGAAATGCGCCTTAGTACAGCCATGAGGGAGAGCCAGAGCCAGTCTCAAAGAGAACCGCTCCTCCCTCGAGAAAGGGATTTCAAGTGACAAAGAGCCGGCTAGGAGCCACAGGACTCCCAAACCAGGAAACATTACCTTGCACCCCACACATCCTGACAGAAGCTGGCTGCTTCCTGGCTCCTTTCGTGCTCAGGACCGAAATAAACTCTTCAGCTTCGTGCTCCCAAACATGACGTCGAGATATCCTGTGTGGTTGGGCTGTGCCCTCCCTCAGGTTGCTGGGAGCCAGTGGCTCAATTAAGAAGTCTTGGCCAGCCAGGTGAAAGACGCCTTTCTGGAGAGGAAATGGCATCGGTTCCTAAATGCTCTCAGTCTGCAGAAAGTGTCAGGCCACTTCAGCATGCAGGTTTTCAGCTCACTTGATTGCAATGAGCAGGAAGATGGAAGAAGCATCTCCTTTCTTCTAGGGATGGACAGAAGGGGACGGACACACACACACACCGTTGGGAAGCTAAGAGAAACTAAGCTAAGGCATGGGGGAAACTTTGCTTTTTGAGACTGCTTTCTCAACCAGGGCTGGCTGGCCTGGGATGACTCAGGACTAAATCAGGGTTTCTCAAGCTTGGTTCCACAAGAACTTGATGGGGCTGCCTGAGAGACGAAGGGCAAAAAACAAAAGCTTTCCACTCAAATGCAGCCTGTTATTATCACTAGAGCTTTCCCTCCCTGTCAGGGATTCTGGTTTTTGAATGAATGAATGAATGAGCAAGCCTGAAAAGATTTGAGAATTACTGTTTTAGACCCAGAAGCCAGCGGTCCCCAACTTTTCTGACTCTGTAGACTAGGTGGAGAGGGGATGGTTTCATAAGGTTGGGGACCCCTGCTTTAGAGCCTATGGAAGCCGGAAGCCGTGTCCAGGGTAGCCTCCCTGATCCTGGGGTAAAGACCGACTAGCTTTAAAACAGAACTGAAAGAGGCACCCTAAGAGCCCCCCCCCCCAGGCCCTTGTTGCCCTACGCAATTCTCCTCTGCACCTCTTACTCCCTTGTGCCCCGTCTAGATTGGGGGGGGGGCAGGTGGAGGAAAGGGCCAAGTAGAAGCAAAGGAGGGCTTCTGTGGAAGGGAATTCACGAGGGTGTCTTCTACAGAATTAACTAGAGCAATATATTCCTAAGCACAAAGAAACATCTGCTTATAACAAACCAAACTGTGAGATGCAGTTGTGCTGACTTCACAGAACAATGATTGTTATACCAGATGTTGAACAAAGGAGGAATTCAGCCAGTGGGAGGGAGAGGGTACCAGAACCACGGCCTCCCTCCCTCCCCTTCCACCCAAGACACTCACCAGCCCATCGCACGTGCTGAGGGCCGCCAGCCCACTTTCTTTGTCCCCGTTCTGAACAGACCCGATCATATGACACGGGTTCCGGCTGGACGCTTGAATCCGGGCCCGAGAGATGCCTCCATACCGCTTTTCAGTAACAAAGCCGGGGGCCAGGAGGTGAGGGTTGAGGCTCAGGTTGAAGCGCAGCTGCTGCCCTCGGTGAAAGAGGGCGTAAAACGCCCCCGGGCGAATCCGTGAGAAGACGGCCCTTTTGGACAGCGGGCGGTGGGACAGGTTGTAGGAGAGGAAGGCGCCCCTCTCGTCCACTCTGACCGGGTACACCACCTCGTGGTCCTCGTAGCCAGGATCCGGGCCCCGGGAGGGTTCCGCACCTGCAGAAAGCCCTTCGAGTGACGGGGGCGGGGGAGAAGCGGCCTCCCGGGGATCCGCTCCCCACACTTCGGCCTCCCTCCGGCAGGCGGTGGCTCCCCTCGCCAGGGGCCAAAGCAGCAGGAGGTCAAGGCTGCCCTTCCCCACTTCCCGCCAAACCCATCCCGATAAAAAAAAGTCACCGCTCTCCTCTTTGGGGGTGACGGGGGGCTCTTCCCGCCACCCCCGCCTCGAAGGGGCGGCGGCTCCTGCAGGGGCTGAGCCGGGGGCGGCGGCGGAGGGGAGCCAGCCAGCCAGCCGGCCGGCCTTGCCGAGGACAATGGGCGAAGGCTGCAGGACACCCGCACCTCTTTGTCGCCGCCGCAGCGCCGAGCCGGCTGGCCGGAGACCGCGCAGCGCGTCCTCGCAAGGCGCCTCCGACTTCCAGACGGGCTGGTGGCGCCCGCGGCCCTTCGCCGGCCGAGAGGCAGCCCAGCGCCGGGTGCGGCTTCGGGGCCGCCTCTCCCACACCCACCTGGGGACTCGGCGCGGCCCCCCCGGGCCAGGACGGCGGCGGCGGCAGCCACCACCAGCAGCGCGCGGGCCATGCGGGCGGGCCGGCCTCAAGGGGCGGGCGGGAGAGGCGCCCCCGGCCTTCTCGCTGAGACGCCCCTCCGGACAGGCCGGGCGGCGGGCGCGGCTCGTGTTGCCTCTTCCATGCCGGCGGCGGCAGGCGCAGCGCCCTCCAGCCGGCTCCGCCCCCGCCTCGCCCCCGGCCGCCTTTCAGCTGGGCGGGGGGCCAAAGGCGGCTGCCGGACCAGGGCGCGCCGCTCGCCCCTCCCGCTCGCCCGTCGGAGGGGGCGGCGGCTGGACTCCCGCGCGCCGTCCAGCTTCGAGGGAGGCGCGCCTCTCTGGTGTCCTCTCGCCCGGCTTCCTCGGGCTTAGCCGTCCAGCGGGGGAAGCGGGAGGCGTCCCGGCCGGCCCAGCCTTTGCTCGCTGACGGCCGCCTTCCCACAGCCGGCTTCGCTCTTAGACTTTATTCGGTAACCTCAATTGTGCAGAGTTGGGGGACGCGGCGGGCCACACACCGACCCTGGAGGTTCAGACAATGTGCTGAGCAGTGCTTGGCTGCTCTATGATGCCTGGGACGCTGAAGGAGAAGCGGAGAGGCAGAAGTGAGTCTCTTGGTTGAGACTACCAAAAAAAGAACATTAAGGTTAGATTAGGCATGTCCAACCTTCGGCCGGTGAGTCACATGTGGCCCTAGTCCAGGGGTAGGCAACCTTGGCTCTTTTATGACTCGTGGACTTCAACTCCCAGAATTCCTGAGCCCACCATGTTGAGGGGAAAGGGAGTTTCCAAGCTGAGCCATGCTGGCTCAGGAATTCTGGGAGTTGAAGTCCATGAGTCATAAAAGAGCCAAGGTTGCCTACCCCTAGCCTAGCCCTACCCTAGACAGCTAGTAATGTGGCCTCACAAGATCATAAACTTTTAACATTATGTGATTTATATACATTAACGTGTACTGTAGTTAATGTATATGTGGCCCAAGAGAATTCCTCGTCCCTCAGTGCAGCCCAGGCAAGCCAAAAGGTTGGACATTCGTAGCTTACGGCATGTGAGAGTGCAGCAATCTTTGTTGTGAAACTCATTTGTGTATTTTGCAAACTCCGCCAATTGTGGCACATTCATTAAATCATGGCTGTCAAAAGTTGCATTGCATTCTGTGGTTATTTTGGCCATAATGGCCAGAAAGGGACTACAAAGAACATATATAACACAGGGCATGAAAAGAGTGCCCTCCTGGGGCTATTTTGGGCATAGCAGCCTGACAGGACTACAAAGACCATACATAACACAAGGCATGCAAAGAGAGCCCTCCTGTGGTTATTTTGGGCGAGATAGCCTGAAGGGGACTACATAGACCATATATAACACAGGGCATGAAAAGAGTGCCCTCCTTTGGTTATTTTGGGCATAGCGGCCAGAAAGGGACTACAAAGACCATCTATAGCACAGGGAATGCAAAGAGTGCCCTCCTGTGGTTATTTTGGGCATGGCAGCCTGAAGGGGACTACAAAGACCATCTATAGCACAGGGCATGAAGAGTGCCTACCTGTGATTATTTTGGAATAGCAGCCACACAAGGAAATAATACTTACCCCAAAGAAGGCAAAAAAGTCAGGCTTTCCTAACATATCACAAACTGTGTTGGTCATTTTGGGGACAAAGTCATCAGAATACGGCATTACGTCGACCTAACTCTTTTCTAATTGCAAAATGGGTCAAACCTCAGGCCCTACTCTTTCCTTGCCCAAAAGAGGGCAAAAAAGTCAGGCTTTCCCAAGATATGAAAGACTATGTTTGTTATTTTAGGGGCCAAGTCATCAGAACGCAGCCTTAGGCAGGAATAGCAGCCACACAAGGAAATCAACCTTACCTGCCGACTTCCAGTCACACATGCACAGTAGTTCTCCACTGTCCTACACACTGACCTCCCCGGGATGGCCAACTTCCTGTCCGTTTCTGTGGCCGTCCTTCCACTTCCGTTCAGAACGACCTACTCGGCATGGCCGACTTCCTGTCCCCAAGGAGGCGGCTGGATGCCGGTACGAGAGACTGGGAGGCTGGGTCTCTTTGTGCCCTTTCCACTTCAGAGGGAGAAAAACAAGAGGCCAAATTGGGAACATAGAGATACAGTTCATATGTTGGAAACATAAATTTCAGAGATTCTTTCTCAGGCTGGCTGTGGAATTCTGGGAGTTGAAGTCCACATGCCTTAAAATTGTCAAGGTTGAGAAACACTGCCTATCTTTATTAACGGTATTAACACCTTATTAATAGGGCCAGGGGAGGCCCGTTTGCTGCAGCGCAGGCACGGAAGAAGAAATCTGCTTCAAAAGCCTTAAACCTAGTTAATATTAATAAGGTTTTAATAATAAAGAATAACCTTAAAATGCCATTGAAAAGTTTTTTAATGGCTGCTATACCTGCTTCAACCACAGGATGGCACTGTTTTTTGACCCTTAATAGCATTCAATAGCTTCAATAGATAAATAATAATAATCTTAAAATCATATTAAAAGGGTTTATTTCCTTTTGTGGCTGCTATTTCTTCTTTAACCGTATTAATTCTTTAATTCTTCCCAGAGGGTTTGACCGCTTTAGTCTCAATAAATAACTTCCCCTCTCCCAGGAAACAGGCGATGGGAGCATAAAGCGGGCCTCCTGTGGACTTTCCTCACTGTTTTTAAATATCCCTAGGCTACAACCATGGACTCCAGAAGATGGTAGAGGACAGGAAGACCTGGAGGAATGTTGTCCATGGGGTCGCGATGGGTCGGACACGACTTCGCAATTAACAACAACAGGCGACAACCAACACAAACAAAGAGGTTACCAACAGAATAAGAGACGTGGAGTTCCAGCTAGAACTTAACAGAATCTTTCTCTGCAGCAAGAAAATGGAAAGCATCTCAATTCTGCATATAATCTTTATTTTATTTTGCATTTATTAAATTTTCAGAACTTTTTAAACAGCATTTTAAGCATTTTCCTGCTCAACAAGAAAAAGTTCTGTTGGAAGAAGGGACGTTCCCCATCAGCGCCCCAGAGGTGGCTGATGGGACTTGTAATCCAGTGGAAGCCCAAGTAGCCCTCTGATCTCTCAATCCTAAAAAGCACAGCTGCAAAAATGATGGGGATATTTTAAAAACTGGGCCTTTGCAACGGGAGAGGGAGGGGGGTGGCACCCTCCAACCCTACTCCAGCCTCAGGCACAAGGCTGCCTGACGGGATGGGATTTGTAGTCCAACGGGTCTCCGGGCGGGGCGAAGGCTCGAGGAGGCGGCATTACGCAGTCTAATCGCCTTCACCTGTGCGGGCCGAGGCATACCTGACAGTGATGAGCCGTTACCCGCGCTGCGGCCGTCTCCATGGCAACCGGTGCGCGAGCTGGGAAACCAGCCGAGCGTTCGCACCTGTTTGCGCGGGAAAGAGCGCGCGCCTTTCCCGCCCAGCACCCTCCCTCGCGGGCTCCTGTCTGCACACCCATCTCGCTCGTGATTGGCTGCTCCGAAAACGCTTCCCTCGGATTGGCTGAGCGGCCTCTCCCCTCTCCGGAAGGCGGGGGCATTTAAAAAGTCGGCGGGCTCCTCAGGCTGAGTGCAAAAATAAAAGCGAGCGCGCTGCAGAGGCAGCCGCCGCCGCTACCGCGTCTCTTTTTCCTCAAAAGAGACGCGGTAGCGGCGTCTCCTGCCTCTGCAGCGCGCTCGCTTTTCTTTTGGCACTCAGCCTGAGGAGCCCGCCGATTTTTTCCTTTTTGCTGCGGGGCGCCGGAAGGCAAAAATGTCTCTCTCCGGCGCTCCCGCGGCCCAAGTCCTCGAGCTCGAGGCCGGGCAGGGCCTTTTGAGCTTTGAGGTAAATGTACCTGAGACTTTTACCTTTTAGGGATGCGGAGGGGGGCGTGAGTTTTTAAGCTAATTAATAGCTTATTGTTCTCGAGGAGTCAGGATAGCACCTGTGGTAATTTTAACCACGGCGTGTATTCTTACGAGTAAACCGCTAGTGGTAGCGGAGGTAATACCTTTTATTCAAAGGACTCCAATACCATAGGTCACTAAAGATACTTATCTCAGTCTTTCGCTCGGGGAATAACGCAAACCGCTGTGTCTTAAAGTAATTCTAGTCAAGTTCTTAAACTTTTGGTGGAACCTGAGGAATAAAGTGAATTCTTGGGGTAATTTTAGCCAAGAATTCAAGTTCTTATAATAAAATTTTGGTGGAACCTGAGGTAATCTCAGCCATGTCCTTTTTAAAGGGACCAAACCACCAAAGGTGAATAGGAGTTAAAATTAGCTTTAAAGGTAAAATTATCTCAGGAACTGACTTTCCTCTTAGGAATAAAATGAATTTTTGGGGTAATTTTAGCCAAGAATTCAAGCTCTTAGAATAAAATTTTGGTGGAACCTGAGGTAATCTCAGCCATGTCCTTTTTAATGGGACCAAACCAGCAAAGGTGAATAGGAGTTAAAATTAGCTTTAAAAGTAAAATTATCTCAGGAACTGATTTTCCTCTTAGGAATAAAATGAATTCTTGGGGTAATATTAGACAAGAATTCAAGTTCTTAGAATAAAATTTTGGTGGAACCTGAGGTTATCTCAGCCATGTCCTTTTTAAAGGGACCAAATCACCAAAGGTGAATAGGAGTTAAAATTGGCTTTAAAGGTAAAATTATCTCAGGAACTGACTTTGCTCTCAGGAATAAAGTGATTTTTTTGGAATCTGAGATAATTTTAGTCAAGGCACAAGCCCCTAAAAGAAGCAAAATATGTAATAATAATAATAAGTTGGAAGGGACCTTAGAGGTCATCTAGTCCAACCCTCTGCTCAGGCAGGAAACCCTATACCAGGGGTAGGCAACCTTGGCGCTTTTATGACTTGTGGACTTCAACTCCCAGAATTCCTGAGCCAGCATGGCTCAGCTTGGAAAGTTCCCTTTCCCCTCAACATGGCTGGCTCAGGAATTCTGGGAGTTGAAGTCCAGAGGTCTTCAAACGTGGCCCTTTTATGATTTGTGGACTTCAGCTCTCAGAATTCCTCAGCCAGCGTGCCAATCCACAAGTCATAAAAGGGCCAAGTTTGAAGACCTCTGCCTTAAAAGAAGCAAAACATGTAGAAAACAGGCTAGTGGCTTAAAGGAACAATGTTACAAGTCATTGTATTTTGTAAATCTTTAAAGGTAAAATTATCTCAGGAACTGACTTTCCTCTTAGGAATAAAGTGAATTCTTGGGGTAATTTTAGCCAAGAATTCAAGTTCTTAGAATAAAATTTTGGTGGAACCTGAGGTAATCTCAGCCATGTCCTTTTTAAAGGGATCAAACCACCAAAGGTGAATAGGAGTTAAAATTTTTCTTTAAAAGTAAAATTATCTCAGGAACTGACTTTCCTCTTAGGAATAAAGTGAATTCTTGGGGTAATATTAGACAAGAATTCAAGTTCTTAGAATAAAATTTTGGTGGAACCTGAGGTTATCTCAGCCATGTCCTTTTTAAAGGGACCAAACCACCAAAGGTGAATAGGAGTTAAAACTGGTTTTAAAAGTAAAATTATCTCAGGAACTGATTTTCCTCTTAGGAATAAAATGAATTCTTGGGGTAATTTTAGCCAAGAATTCAAGCTCTTAGAATAAAATTTTGGTGGAACCTGAGGTAATCTCAGCCATGTCCTTTTTAAAGGGACCAAACCACCAAAGGTGAATAGGAGTTAAAATTGGCTTTAAAAGTAAAATTATCTCAGGAACTGACTTTCCTCTTAGGAATAAAGTGAATTCTTGGGGAAATATTAGACAAGAATTCAAGTTCTTAGAATAAAATTTTGGTGGAACCTGAGGTTATCTCAGCCATGTCCTTTTTAAAGGGACCAAACCACCAAAGGTGAATAGGAGTTAAAATTGGCTTTAAAGGTAAAATTATCTCAGGAACTGACTTTCCTCTTAGGAATAAAGTGAATTCTTGGGATAATTTTAGCCAAGAATTCAAGTTCTTAGAATAACATTTTGGTGGAACCTGAGGTAATCTCAGCCATGTCCTTTTTAAAGGGACCAAACCACCAAAGGTGAATAGGAGTTAAAATTGGCTTTAAAAGTAAAATTATCTCAGGAACTGACTTTGCTCTCAGGAATAAAGTGATTTTTTTGGAATCTGAGATAATTTTAGTCAAGGCACAAGCCCCTAAAAGAAGCAAAATATGTAATAATAATAATAAGTTGGGAGGGACCTTAGAGGTCATCTAGTCCAACCCTCTGCTCAGGCAGGAAACCCTATACCAGGGGTAGGCAACCTTGGCGCTTTTATGACTTGTGGACTTCAACTCCCAGAATTCCTGAGCCAGCATGGCTCAGCTTGGAAAGTTCCCTTTCCCCTCAACATGGCTGGCTCAGGAATTCTGGGAGTTGAAGTCCAGGGGTCTTCAAACGTGGCCCTTTTATGATTTGTGGACTTCAGCTCCCAGAATTCCTCAGCCAGCGTGCCAATCCACAAGTCATAAAAGGGCCAAGTTTGAAGACCTCTGCCTTAAAAGAAGCAAAACATGTAGAAAACAGGCTAGTGGCTTAAGGGAACAATGTTACAAGTCATTGTATTTTGCCTTCTTTCACAAGTAGGATAAAACACATAAAACCCCTTTGACTGATTGCTTTTCTAACCTCTGAACATCCACTGTTCATTTGGTGATGTTGATTTTTTTATTTCCAAGGCATGAATCCATGTAGACGAAGAAGAAGACATCAACAGTAAGACAGATGGTTTAATTCGCTCTCCAGTATATTATGAAAGTAAGGAAGCCTGGCAGGTACTGTTTGCAACATGTTAACTACTGCAAAAATCTTTGGGTCTTGCTAAAGTTTATCTTAAGACTTGCTTTAGCAAAGTTTTTTTTAAACATTACAAAGTATCAAGGGTAAAAAGAGCAGTCATAAGTGACAAACATGCCTAAAAAGTAGCAAAAAATTTCTGACCCAAGACAATTTTACCTATTGGCTGTGGATCTTAGAATCAGACAGATACCAGCCTCCTCCAGTACCTGAGGACTCCCTCAGTGAGACTCTAGCCAGAAGGGAATCCTTTGGGATCACCTCCCTCCCACCTTCACACCCTTGGAAATAATGCCAATACCAGCCAGACTTCTTAGAAGCAAAAGTAAACCTGGTGATGCAATTTAATACGAGGAATACCAATAAAGAAGAATATTTGTGGTTAACACTTGAAATGAGGTGTCTTTGGTGCTCTCTGAGCTTGGCGGTTTTCTTGTAGACCAGGCATGTCCAAACTCGCGACGTCATGTGACGTCATGCAATGTATCGGGCCGGTTTTGCCCTTGCCGGCAATGGGGTGGGCGTGGCTTCCACATGACATGTCCGGCCCATGTTGTAGACGTTTCTTTACCAAACTAGGGAACATCATCAGTGCTTGAAGGGAGTGCAGTTTGTTCCCAGTTTATGTTCTAGTGCAGTGGTGGCGAACCTATGGCACGGGTGCCAGTGGTGGCACTCGGAGCCCTCTCTGTGGGCACATGTACCGTTGCCCCAGCCTTGCCTCCCCCGCGACCTCCTCCTCTCCAGCAGCTCCCCTGAAGGAGACTCGCCCTCGAGCGTGGCCCACACAGAGCAGCGCAGCCAAGGACATGGCAGCCAGGCAGCGTAGACAAGACTCTGCCCTCACACCCCATCATGCAGTTGATGCTGCAGGGCGCGGGCAGAGGGCGTGGCTGCCATAGCGCTGCTGGGCTGCCTGGGTGATCTGTGGAGGGCCATGGAGGTGGTAAGTGGTCCTATGGGCAGGTGGGGTGGGGGTGAAGGGGTGGAGCAGGGGCAGGGCCAGTTTTTGGGCACTTGGTCTCTAAAAGGTTCGCCATCACTGTTCTAGTGGCTCCTTTCAGTGTTGGCGAAAATGGTCTTGGAGGTTCTTTGTTGCGCTATGTGTTGTTAGCTTCTTTGGCAGCTCCTTGATTAGGGTATTGTTTACTTCTTGATTGTTGGTCTGGAAATTTAGCCTTGGCAATGGTTCATAGAACCAAAAAGAAAATATCAATGGCCCTTTTTAATGTTAGGTTGGCCATTGATCTGTAAAAGATGTTATAGTTTTCTAGCTTTGCAGACTGAGCAGAGGAAGTGCACTCTTCTGCTGAATATTCTTCGAAAGAGACAACGTTGCCGGGCACGACTGAGGAAGAAACAAAGGAGAAAGAAGAAAAAAGAAGAAAAAAAGAGCAAGGAAATGTCTCCAGCTCAAACCCTCTTAGTCTTCGGCTGTGATGGCACCCTGTACACTGAGAGGTATGTTTAGTTGAGTCTTATATTCTTTAAAGCTTTAGGACAGGGGTCTCCACACTTGGCCCTTTTATGACTTGTGGACTTCAACTCCCAGAGTTCCTCAGCCAGCATGCTGGGAGTTGAAGTCCACAAGTCATAAAAGGGCCAGGTTTGGAGACCCCTGCTTTAGGATATGGAGGGAGGTGGATGGTCTTCCACTAATTATGCCTAGGTAAGCAAGGGTAACCCCTGTGTCTGTGGTAATAGTAACCACTGTGTGTTGTGCATTCTTAGGAGTAAAACCCCAATTCCAACTGAAGTAATGTTGACTTTTTTTATTTCAAAGGCACGAATCCAAAATGACCTGTAGACGAAGAAGACATCAA